AAGTTGGGCTACCCCACAAAGAACTTATAATATGACTGGATTGGAAGAGCCTTCAACACCTTATATTGCACTAGACGACTGTCTAATCATATAAAACATATGTCGGGCCAGTCAAATGTATGAATACTTTCATCGGGTCATGCAACGTGTATACATTGATCTAAGACATCCTAATGGTGGAGACCTTGAAAGTATGTTATGAGGATATATTCATGCATTTTATAATAGTTTTAAAACTAGCCCATAGGCAATGTAGAAAAGTAAAGGCAAGAAATAAAATAATAAATTTTAAAATGTTGAATATTTTAGTATTAAATTTTATTAAGATAAACATTTTAAGACCGGCTTTTATAACAAAGATTTTATCATAAAGAATCTAACGGTGATCGTATCCAGACAAACTGCATGCATAAGAAAGAGTGAACACATGCAAAATATAATTAAATAAACAGTATATAAAAGAATAAGATGTCGGGTGTAGTTGGGTTAGCTACAATCCCAAAAATGAAAAATGACAGTTGGGCTCTGTACATGCCTACTTGATCTTAGAGCAATACAAAAAAGGTTCAAAATCTAGAATTAAGGTATGATGCACGAGCAAATAACTATTAGTCCCCTTTCTGTTCATATGGTCCCCACTTCAAGCTTCTGAACTCATGCTCGTACTTTATTCTAATACAGATTCTCCTAAAGGACTCCAAAAGTACGAGGAAAAAATCTAAAAAAATGCCCGACCCGCAAAAAGAAGTCAGTCCAGACTATCTCATGCAATATATAAAAGATCATATTCGACGGAAGGAGTGCTAAATAGCACCTGTAGAAAATGCAATCCTTTGAGTTGTTATTAAGCTCCTCTATGTTGGATACGACACCGTGTAAGAGAAAACCCTCTTTAATATACTAGTTTGTGAGTTTCAAATCTACTAAAGCATGCAAAAGGCACACAAAGTGTACAACAACTAGCACATGCCAATGAACAATACTTGTGTACGAAAATCTTTAACTATACCCTAGCCCTAATTTTAAAAGAACTAAGAGGTGTTGTCTATGCATACATCTACGAGTAAGACGTGCAAGTGTAGGGACTGAGGGTCTTTCAGTAGGATCTTGACGAGGTCACCAAGTTGGCCCCATCCCAGGCATCTGAATGAACCATCCCTCATCATGACAAACAACGAACGCTAACTCAGGCCTATGCTTGGAACAATCCTACAAGATCTGGTAATACCAAGGTAACTCATTACTTGTTCGGACAGGTCAACCGGACAGGTCAATAAGTAATGTTTGTTTCCATATTATCACCAGAAGTCATATTAAGAGTCATCTGGGTATTGCCATTGAAGTGTAGGCTTATGAGAGCTAGACTCATGTAGTGCAACAGAAAATAGGAACATGCTTAGAAAACTAAGGTTCCACATGCATAAACACACTTAAGTAATGCATAATACATGACAAAAGGATATGCATCGAAAATTAAACCCTAGTTAAACTGACATTGATTAAAGCTTCCACAGAAGAGGACAAATCAGGAAAGATGCATGCATAATGCACAATCAAGAGTTTTTTTTGAAAAGGTGAACCCCTGAAGCTCAGACTCAAAATCTGGATGTCAAGCGAGATGATGAAGAGTAAAAGTCATGCAAGTGTGAATCAACATGCAAAACATAGTATGCGAAGAACCACATGCTAATAAGTGCAAAAAACATAAGGATCCTCTCTCATATGGCGAAAAAGGTGTTATGACGTCGTGAAGATGACTTCATAAATGATTATTACGTTCTAGGAACTAGAGGAATATACAAATACAAAAATGTAATTAAACTTAGCTAGTGGTAGGACTCGAACATTTTCCTACAAGTCTCACACATGTATGTAAAAGGTGAAAAAACATAAGAAAACAAACTTATGTCAAACTGTATCGAAAAAAGACTTGAACGACGTAAGCCCTGTCGACCAGTCAGGCACATTAGAATTATCAGCCATGCGGAAGGGTGTACCACTGACTTGGGAGGGCAAGTTTTAGGGTCCATCTATAAAGATGAAAGACCCACTTGTTCGAAAATACTGAACCTGCCCTAAATGCATGAAAAAAAGTCAAAGGATGGTTACCACCCTTATGGAAGGGTGTACTAACGCTTGAGAGAAACTTTTCTACTCCTTGACTTATAAAAAGTCGAAAGACGATAATCTCAAACTAATAAGACTAGTCTCGACTGAATGACGGGTGTCCCATATTCATTGCACTACTCATGGCGGTGCATCAACTATGCGACTTGCAAAACAGAGTAAGGCAAAGGTTTGGTTAGTAGTGCAAAAGAACAACACTATAGCTACACAAAAGAGAATGCAGTGTTGTATTCCTGTCAAGAGGAGATATGACACTGGATCGTAAGGTAGAGGCTAACACCAGGTCACCGAAACCTATGTCACAAGTTTAGCCTAAGTGGAAATAAAGTCCACATAGAGTCGCATTGCTGAGAGCGATGTTATGGTCCAGTCTTGTGGATCTTACGCTATTTTGCCAAAAAAGCAACAATTGATGTCGGTTGAAACCGAATCAAGCTACCTTACATTATTATGGAATCAATAACAAGCGACTACCAATAAGGTGAAACGACGACTGAGCATCGAGGAATAGTATTAAAATCTTGTTTCACACTTAAAATGGGAACAATGCCATGATACCTAAAGAAAGACCTCACGACATTGGGCTTGATAAGGCTCTGTGCTCAAAGGAGCACTCAAAAAATCATGACTGGGACAGAGAAACGCAGGGGTCTAACCTAGGTATTCTCTAACAATAGCTTAGCCTAGTTTCTCTAACACAAAACCTAGAGCTTTCATAGAAATATAAATTGTGTAAGGGAAAGGATTTTCACGTATTTGAAGGTTGAGCAACGTATAAAGCCTTAACAACCTAACTAATTGCTTTACCAGCTTTCACTACAACCAGGAACAACAACACTAGCATTTGGAGGCTCCGATCAAGAGAAAGAAGGCATCAAACATGAGGGAACCGCATGATCCTATGACTTCAAGAAGCTCCAAGAGGGCCAAGCAAACAAAATTGTGGCCTTAGACCAGCAACATTTCATTAGAATACTAGCCCTTGGGGTCTCTTAGGGTCGCCACATTTATAGGGCAAAATGTTTGTGTGGCATCGCAACACCGCTGACATGTCAAATGTCGTTGGTTGAATAGACAGTGAGTGCGGCTCATGGCCTACCCTGTGTCAGTCTGGGCGATGCGGCTCCAGGGACAACCGCAATGCACAGTTGACATGGATGATGCCACATCAATGAACCTCATTGTGGTTGTCCAATTGAGAGCCTCCATTTAGACTCGAGCTGTGGGGGCACCACGACACTGGATATGGCACCGCGACACTACAAACATGCAGTCACCATGTCAACTCCCGTAATAATGCCCATCTAATCGGGGCTGGTGTGGTCACAATAATAGTCGAGGATGTGATGTCGGATAAGGCACCTCCATGATGACCAACATTTGCTGTGTTTTAGGACCAAACAAATCACAAAATAATGACTACCTCGATATCAGGCCACTCCAGAGTGCATCAGGGGCTTCTAAATAAAGATATATTAAAATGTCATGAGACAAAGAGAACACAAAACAGAGTGCTCGTAAGGAGAATCAAAATAGACATGGTAATATCAAGACCCATTCCCCCTTATGCACATATAAAGGGAGGGGTTGCAATCATAATATATACCATAAGGCCTCAATTCGAGGCAAAAATCACATAAATA